GGTGGCGCCGGGATCGTTTACCACGGGAAAATGCCAAATGGAGTCGAAATCGCAGTGAAGAAGCTTCTAGGATTTGGCGCCAACAGCCACGACCATGGCTTCCGAGCCGAGATTCAAACCCTAGGCAACATCAGACACAGAAACATCGTGAGATTGCTTGCATTCTGCTCCAACAGAGAGACAAATCTCCTGGTATACGAATACATGCGAAACGGAAGCCTTGGGGAGGCGTTGCACGGGAAAAAAGGATCGTTCCTAGGGTGGAATTTGAGGTACAAGATTGCGATCGATGCGGCGAAGGGTCTGTGCTACCTCCACCACGATTGCTCGCCGTTGATCGTTCACCGAGACGTGAAATCCAACAACATCCTCTTGAATTCGAGCTTCGAAGCACACGTGGCCGATTTCGGACTCGCCAAGTTCTTGATCGACGGCGGCAATTCGGAGTACATGTCTACCATCGCAGGGTCGTATGGATACATCGCTCCTGGTACGTTCCTTCATCATCCTCTTAAATCCTGTTCATACCATTCCATTTTCTCAGTATAGATCACGAAATCAAATCCAGAAGAGACAAAAACTTGATCCATCGTAAACCTGAAAATAACATATTCTCCCATGAAATACATGCACGCCTGATTTTAGTAAGCGAAATGTCACCATTCACGCACAGGATTGGAGTTAAATGTGCTTAAATCTACCAAGTGCTTAAGAGTGATTATAAATCAAAATATTTTATTTTTTAAAAAAAGTTTATTTGCCTACCATAAATATTTTCCACAATACTCCATTTGATCCTATTGATAAATTATTTCATAACTTAAAAAAAAATTTTAAATCTCATCAATAATGTTTTCTAAAAATTTAACTATTTTTAACTTTACTTCTAATAAATGTACATACTTTAAAAGTATTTATAAAATACTCCACTACTTAATAATAATCTTGTCATTGATGGGGATGGATAAAAAAATTGTAAAGATATTCTATAAATATGATTAAAATAAATAATTTTTCAATCTTGAGGATGTGATATAATGCCCTTGACATTTTATTTTAAATGTTTTATTCATTAAAAAATATAAAATATTTTTTGAAGAGTTAAATATTAAAAAATATAAAATATTTTAGTGTTTTAAAATGTATGATCATTGCATATTTTTTAAAAATAATCTTAATAAATAATTATTTTATATTTATTTTATAATAAATATTTTATTAAATAGAAGTAAATATAAAAAAATGATATTAATTTTTTTATATTTTTTTAAAGAAAGGAGCAGTGTAAAATCAAAATCACATTCCATTGTATCTTGGTGGAGGTTCGTTGGTAGTTAGTTAGTGAGGTAGTTAAGTTAGTTAGGGGTGAACTTACCTCGCTCGGTTAAATCCAAGGGTCACGTTGATAGTTACTGCCGTTTCATTGAACTTACGTGTTCAATCAAACGGGAATGGCCCAGTAAAGTTGGGAACAAAACAAGGATCTTGATTTGTAGCCGTAGGATTCTCTGCTTTGATAATCCAACGGTCAAAGTTGCCTTGATGGGATAAACCCGGATTGGCCTAGGAATCTCATGATTGGATCGCTCTTGTACCTACTATGAAATAGAATAAATTTCCTACACTTTTTTTTTAAGAATACTTTTATTCCTTGAAAAAAAAATTAGTCTCTTTCTATATAAAATATTTTTAAATTTAATCAATAATAAAGTCATGTTTCCGTTTGGGATCTTTTTCTGTTTTTAGAGGTTAATTATGAAAGCTTAACAGGTCCATGCTATTATAATCATGACATCCACAAAAGAAAAATATAGTTATTAAAACTCTTAATCATATGAATCTCGTCATACTTTATTTATGTAATTTAAAGTTGTAATTGTTTTCCTATATTCAATTCCAAAAATTCTAATTTGAATATCTTTTAAAATTAAACTTTTTTTACCATTTTTAAACCAAGTGTTTTCTATTATTCTTGATACTATCAAATTATCATCTTCATATGAAAGTATTGTTTAATTAACTTTACTATGGTCAATTTGCATGAAGCTTGAGTCATATAAATATAAAAAAATAGGATTAAAAAAATATTTTGGAGATACGAATTGATTCTGCATGAGGATGGATATGCATGGAATTTTTTGGGGAAGGGAGGAGAGAATTTTTTTGGAGAGGCTAAAATGAAAATGACCGGAACGGGGAGGGAGGGATCTGGTGTGGTGGGGCACACCTCAATCGCTGTCTCCAACAGGTCAATCTTACACCATCATTGCCCTCTCCAAACAGTCAGTCAGACACCACATCGCCTTTGGTTTTCCATATCATCCTTTCCACGCACCTTCTATAGCGCGTGTCTCGCAATCTCCACTCATTTCTTTCTCGTGCATCTTTTGCTTTCGCTCCCGCATTAGACCCAAACGTTATTTATTAATAATAACTTGTGGTACCTCTTCAAAAGACATGTTTTTTTATTGAGAATTTAATTATTACTGCATATTTAGATTAAGTTGGATTATTTTTATAACTAATTAATCTAAGCACCTCTTATATTTTTTTTGGATGATATAACTTTAAGTCCTTAAATTTTTTATCAATTATCAATTTAGTTATCAAACTTTAATTCAGTACAACCAGTCTGTGTTATTTATTGAGTTAAATAATTATAGAAGGTTTTGTATCAAGTTAAAATTTATAGGAACTGAGTTTTTTCGAGTCAAGAAATCATGGAGATTGAATTGTTTTAATTCAAAGTTCAATAGTTAAATTGATAATTAAAAAGTTAACAGTTAGGAACATATGTTTTCTCTATTTTTTAAATAAAATTTAAAATCAAAAAAAAAAATTATGTTCAAGTGAAAAGAATATGGTAAAACGAGGGTAAGAATCAAAGGTTGGCAAAAAATTTTATTGTCTTTAGTGAAATTTTATTTTTGATTGAAGAGACTTTTTTTATTTGTTGCTCTAATTTCTTATGAATAAATATATTCACTGGTCACGATAAGGACATAAGAAAAAGACACGAAAAAAAAAAATAATTGTCAGTGACGAATGCACAGACACGAGTGTGTGTGTGTGTGTGTGTGTGGGTTGATGGATCGTGATGTGAGAAAATTGATGTGAAGTATCATACTGTCGAGAGCAGATTGTTTTTACGTGGAAAGCAAGCCTCTACATTGCTCCCCACCCAGCTCTTCTTTTGTCAGATTCTTTGGCTTTTTGTTTGCAACTTGACATCTTTTTGTCTTCACTTATTTTTAACTTTAGCTCATTTTTAAAAAATTTGATTTTATTAATTAAATACTATTCATTTCATTACTATTGAGTTCTGACCATATCTTTTTTACTATTCATGTTTACAAGCTTTTTTTTAATAGACAATTAATGGATTTTGTTTTTTGAATCGCAGAATATGCTTACACATTAAAAGTAGATGAGAAGAGTGATGTTTATAGTTTTGGAGTAGTTTTGTTAGAGTTGATAACAGGGCAGCGACCAGTAGGAGATTTCGGAGATGGAGTAGACCTTGTGCAATGGTGCAAGAAGGCGACCAATGGACGAAAGGAAGAAGCGATGAACATCATCGACATGAGGCTATCGTTGGTGGCGAAGGAAGAGGCAATGCACATGTTATTCATCGCTCTGCTGTGTTTACAAGAGAACAGTGTTGTGAGGCCTACAATGAGAGACGTTGTTCAAATGCTCTCCGAATTCCCTCGACTTGTAGCCTCACAACACAAAAACAACAACAGCAGTATCAATAATAACAACCAAACATCATCTTCATATTCCAATAGCATTATTCCTCCAAGCAAAAGCCTTGAGAAAGCAAATCCTTGTCCTCCCACTTTCAAACAAGACCTTTTGGCTTGAGAAACTTGAGCTCTTTTTTCTGAGTTAATTTTCTCTAATATTCTTTAGGGCATATATCTATTAATGTTATAATTTGCCTTTCTTTAAATCCTTAACTCTATGTTCTTTTTTTTTGGGGGGGGGTTAGATTTATTAATTTTAGGGAGATATATAGAGTTTTTGTTGATCAAAGAGGTGTAGAAATAAACGGATGATGGTGTTCATAACTCTCTTAAAAAGGGGTGGCACTGTATAATTAGGTTGAGGCTCAAAATCCTTGTTTGGGGTTCTTGCATGATTTTCATTTGTAATCATGTTTTATGTATAATATATATTTATAAATAGATGTTAAATTTCAATTCCATTTCATTGCCTTAATTATATATATGCTTTCTATATTCTGAACATTTTTCATACAATTGGTTGCTTTATTCTTCCCATTTAATTTTAAAACTTATATTAATTGGGGATAATTAGGGATTAGCTAAATAACGACGATAATTAGTACGCACAGTTGTTGTTGTTTTTCCCCGAACCTTTTTCTTTAATTCTATGCAGTTTCTTTTATTCAAACGGATCTTGATCTGGCAAAAAAAGGAAAAAAAAAAAGAAAAAGGGATCTGAAAGTTAAAATAAAATTGTTTATAGCTTTTACAATTAAATAATACGGTAAACATAGATATACTAATTAATGATTAATAGCTTCGATATGAATCATAATAATAAGCATATAAATAATTTTAAAAAGACATGTTATCAATTGAAATAATAATGAAATTATTTAAATGAATTAACTTGTGTAATGTGGTGATATCTTTCCTCTTCATTCAATCAGAAAAATTATTACATCTGTCCCCAGTTGTAACAAAAAAAAAATCACAACAGTTTTTTTAATCATTTTTTTAATTTTTAGATATCGAGCATAATTTTTCATGTAGTTGAATGTTTAAAATTGTTTTGAAAGGAGGGAGAGTGTGTGTATATAGATATATATATATATATATATATATAAAAATTTTCACCAATCTCTCTCCCAAGTCACATGTATACGTGTTCCCTGTGATTAATTGATGGGCCTTTAAATTTTTTGCCAATGGCCCAATAACCTAATTGGGACTTGACGACTAAAAACAAAAACACTTCCCAACCCTTATTGAGCGCTTCAGCGTTGGGGTCTCCTTCAAAATCAGCGCCTGTAATCGTCGTCAAAATTCCCTCTAAAATCGAAAACGCGAAAACCCCTTTCAAATCCTTAAAAAATAAATAAACAAAATAAAAATAAAATTCGCTTCGCCTTCCAAAACGTATAAAAGGGACTCACCAACCAGGCACTCTGATTTCCAAGGTACGCATTTCCTCATCTCTGTTTTTCTTTTGCTGCTACTGTTATAGTTGTTGCTTGTCCCCTCCGATTTCTGTTCAAATTTCGGTTTTTAGCTGTTCGATATGAAATTCACTGTTCTACGGAGCTTGACTGCATATATTATGGTGCTAAAGAGTTTTTGGTTTCTTGTTTTCGAACTTGGGGTTTGCCGATTTCTGTGGTTTTACCCTTTCGTTCATTAAATTGGGGAGGGAGGTCACTAGTTGCTTTGTTGTAGCATTTTTAAGTTGTGTTCATTTCTGGGATTTTGCCATTTGAAAATTTTGGGGGAAATTATGTCTTTTATTTGTTTTTTTTAATTGTTTTAGTTAATATATAAGTTAACTTAGCTAAATCTGTTGCGTTCTCATGTTCAAACGCTTTGATTTTGTGAATATGTACTTCTTGCGGCATCAGAAATATTCTGAGAGTAAGAAAGAAGATAAAGAAAAAAGGACATCTTCCTGTGAAACATCTGTGAGCGCAAAATTAGCGTATAATGATTCCTAATGTTGTATTTTTGACGTTTAAAATGATCATGGGATGGAATTTGGTTATTTAACTTTGTCTCTGTTTATTTTAAAACTTGCTCAGGGACCTAGTTAGAATATGAAGCGCAAGCGTGGGCAAAAGAAAGGGAAGGCCAAAGTCACCCCTGTAATTAGTGCTAATGAGACAAGTGGAAATAAGGAAGAAGTATCTGGTTTGGATGAATTTGGTAACAATAAATCTGACTCTGGAATGGAAGCTGATACACCTTCTTCGACTGGGACAGACCATCATTACAACCTTGCCAACATAAATCCTGATGGTTCTGTTGAGAAGGCAGCAGGAAAATCATTTGGGCGCGTTAAAGTGAAGCTCAGGACATCAAAAGTGTTAGACTCTCAGCCCACTTCTTCTGATGCCCCTACTCAAAGTGATACTGATAAGAGTAGCCAGCATCAAGGGTTCGAGAAACAAGGTGTAAATACTGAGAGAACAGAAGACAGTGCTAATTCATTGCCCGAGATTAAATTGAGTGTTCTGTCAAAGAAAGCTGGGAGTATAAAAATTAAGTCCTCAAAGGTCTTTGGATCAAGCTCTAACCAGACAGGAAAATCATTGTCACCATCGGGTGGGAGTAGTCATGCCAAAGAAACCAATGCCACTCAAAAAAATCCACGATATAATAAGCAAGAATTGGATTCTGCTTTAGTGGTGTGTTGATGTTTTTCATACTGGTTTTCCTTGTTTTATGGTTTTCTAGTTTGTCTCTTTTTAATCAAGCAGGCCTTACAATTTCAGTTCTTAATGCATCTGTACCTTGGATCTTGTCTTTCTCCCCCTCCTTTTTCATAGGTTATAAGGAAGGTGATGAAAATGGATGCTGCTGAACCCTTCAATGTTCCTGTGAATCCTGAGGCTCTAGGAATCCCTGTAAGTACAAACATGTTCAACTAGGTTTTCCAATGGATTGGCTTCGAGTAGATGGTTCTCCAGTTGTGTTTGGGTCCCTTAATGATTCTTCTCCTGGACATTATGAAACTCCTCTGATATGCTGCCAAATAGTTCCAAAGGATCAAAGCTTTCGTAGTTGGTTGAATTGTCGAACTCTTAGCACGAACTTTGTGTTTTCACAACCTGCAATTCTTCTTGTAATTTACTATAGTAATTTGTTGGTGTCATTCTTATTTCAATGATTTTTAGTGCTTATCCTAGCCTGCCTCGAATGAAAAATTTGCCAAATGGAAAGTAAAAGTATAGTTTAATTTAATGGCTAACTCATTGTATTTCCTGTGAATTTTTTATTGGATGTTGGTAATTGTTTAATAGATGTCAGTTGTTGCCAAATTTGGCCCTTGAGACTGATGTGGTTGATAATAAAATTTAAGAACAAAAAAGGTTTATACTATCGATTGTGATTTTGTGTCTAATGACATTATGCTGTCTGGAACCAGGACTATTTTGATATTATAGATACACCAATGGATTTTGGAACTATATGCAGCAGTCTTGAAAGGAATGACAAGTATATGGACTCAGAGGATGTGTTTAAAGACGTTCAATACATTTGGAGCAATTGTTATAAGTACAACAATAAAGGTGACTATATCTTGGATCTTATGAGGCGTGTGAAGAAGAATTTTATGAAGTACTGGACTGCAGCTGGATTATACAGTGAACATGCAAAAACAACTAAAGGTGTGATGATTTCTATAGATGCTCTTTTTTCTAGTTCAAAATGTTAGCCCCTTTTTCTTTTACTTCGGCTTCCCTTGTTTGTTTTGGCTAAAAGCTAGACAATTGCATATGGAGACAGGATATTTGTGTTTTTGCATGGAATGCAGAAAACCAAGTAATACTGTTTTTTATTATTTTTTTTTCTGTGCATTTGGTGGGATATGAAGTAATTTTCCTGTTCAATATCTTGGGCTTTTGTAGGTCAAAACGTTTTTCTTTTCTGTTGCATAACTTTTTGATCCTTTGGAGGATTTTTATTTTTGTAAGATACTGCACCATGGTACTCCGATAGCTATTTGAGCTTGCCTTTTTTTAAAAATTTTGTGTGGACTGGAACTTCAGCAGAGGATGGAGGACAGTCTGGTGAAGGAAAAGTAGCGAAGGGTGGTCAATCAAAGCAGAAGACAAAAAAGCGTCATGGGTGTGTATTCCTGAACTACTTTCTTCCCTGCTGACTATATTTTACCAATGTAATAATTATGCTAATAGTGGATGTAATTGTGACTTTAAATTGCTTGCCATGATCAAACCCCTTGTTGAGGATTTTGTCTTTTTTAAATAAATAAACAAAACTAACAACTTTACAAAGATATCCAACACTAAAAGTTATCCGGTGGGATTTAATAGTTCCTCATGAGCTCTGGAGATGGTTAGTGGTTTTTATTCAGCAAAATAGAGTGGCTACTAACACGTGTCAAATAGGTACTGGCACTCCATTTTATCTCATGTTGTCTTGTTTTTGCAGGCCTCTAGATCTTTTCTTTCCAGGCTTTTTTGTCAAGCATGGATATGAACTTTATTCTACTCTACTTTATCCTATAATCTCACATGGATATTTAAAAAGATCCGCTATAAATTTTAAGTAAATTAATTCCTAGCATGAGCTCGGGCAATTGAAATTCCTTCAATATGCCCTATCTTACATTTTTACTCCCATTCTTGTGTAAGGTTGGGCAATTCTATAATAGATGTTTTTTTCCATGAATGATGAGGTTTTAACTTAGGTTACCTTGCAGTTATATTACATTCAAATTTTTTTCTTCTCCTGGAATGTAATGATGCTGACAGATTTTAATAGTTACTGCTTCGTTTCATCAAAATTATCTACTTGCAGAAGACGCCATAAACACGATTGCTTATGTGCTATTTGTGTCCTAAAGCGCCGTAGAAGGGAAAGGGAAGAGAATGCCCGAATGGCCAAGGGTAATATTGGATCTGTTGATGATAGACATGCTAGAGAGATTAAACAAGAGGTATGGTATAAATAAATTTTACACTGCATTTTATTTATTTAGAGATGTGTCTGGAAATTTGGAAGTAATTTAGGATGCATGATAGCTTATTAAGTTTATATCATTAACTACAAATACAGGATTGGATGCAACGCCTTCAACTTTCCTAATTCATAGTGAGCCCATATACATATATGATGTGCATCTTAAGGGAATTCAAACTCAAATAATTGCACATCAGCCCAATAATGATTAAAAAAAAAAAAGAATTTAGCACTTAGTGTAGATGTTCATCTGGACAATACAAGAATATGACTGGCTTGCTTTTTATGTCGACATACGTGAATTGTAATGTTGTCTTGTTTTTAAAGGAATCCATGCAGGTAGAGAGCCCTGGAAGTGAGGATTCATCCTCAAATATGGATGAATCACAGGGCACTGATCAGGATGCTGAGGAGGAAAAAGGAGAGGAGGTGAAAACGGAGGTTGGTGAGAAGCAGTCTAGTCCTTCTGAGGGGAAGCACAATGACATGGACGTGGATGATGAAGATGACGAAGATGAAGATGATGACAATGATCAGAAAGAAGGGGAGGCGGAGGAGGATGGAGAAGAGGAAGACTTGGAAGAAACTGAGGGAGACATTCAGAAGAAAGACAAGGGCGAAAATCTTAAGCAGTCACATCTTGGAGATGAAACTGCTGTTAAAGGCGAACAAGAAGGACAAGCTTTGGCCATCCAGCAACAGAAGCACAAGGTATTTCTAAATACTCATTATGTTATAGTTGGCATGGCTTCTACGTTTGTCATCTAACATCTCCAAAAGGGCTTAGGTACTGATAGAGCACATTGATGTTGTGCAATCCATGTGGTTGACCTTATCTAGTGAGATAAGACTTGTTGTATTGAACTGGATAGGATTCAAATGAAGCTCTCTAGATGTGTGCTGTCAAATTTTGAAATGAAATTATAATATGGGGACAAATTTTACAATTCAATAGCTCTCACATTTCATGATAACACCTAAAAGTTGTATGTAGATATCTATCTTGTCACTGATACAATTATTCTGTTACATGTAGTTGCAACTTGCAAGTTATACATGCTGTTTACTCTGTTTGTAGGAATCACGAAGTAAACAGGAGAGAGCCAAGTTGCTCGAGAAATTTTGTTTTGAAAACCCTCAGCTTCCCAGCTTATGTGCGACTCTGTTTCCTAAAAGCAGTGTATCTGTATGGAGTGGTCCAAACTCGCTGAATCATCAGCATAAAACTTCTGCTACTCGTCCTAATTCTATTTCTGCTGCTGTTCAGACTTTGATGAAGTAGGTTTTGCTTTTGACTTGTTTCGCCACTGTCAAAAAAACCTGAATTTTATGTTACTTGAGTTGTTTTGACTGACTTTTACTTTGCTCAATGTATGATAGTCATTAACATTTAGGGTTTATAAGAGTAAAACAGAGAATTCGAATAATACTTTATCCCCCCCCCCCCCGCGCGTTTTTCTAACTAGCTTTTACTTTGCTCAATGTACTAATTGAAGTACAAGCCCACAGACAAAACAGCGCAAAGGACAACAAAATTAAACAAGGTTGGAATGCGAAAAACTCTGCCCTCTTGGTGGTTTATGAAGGACCATAATATCTAAGTTCTCAGCATACCATTGGTGAGCAAGTCAGTTTGCACATTTATTTGCTTATTTTAAAATATGATTAAAAGTAACAATCCAATCCTGCATTCTGAGATTCTTGATCTTCTTGGTAGAACTAAAAGAGAGGGTGGTTCTGAGAAAATTCATTCTAGATGAACAGAGTCTCAATTGAGTCAGAACAGACATTAATTTTGAAGTATTTTCTGCTCCAGCAAAGATTAGACCTTCAAAGATATCATCAGAGAGTATGCCATGAAGTCAGGATACCCAAATATTATTGTACATAACTCGCATTCAATTTTAGATGCCTGTTAGTTAATGGACATGTAATAAAACAAAATACAGTACAATCAAAACAAGGTTGGTTGAGTGATAGGGGATTTAAAGTCTTGATTTTTTTTTGACCCGAATTTAAAGCCTTGATCTTGAGTCGATGAAAAAGTTTTGTCAGGAGCTTTATCTCAATTGAGTTTGGCTTGATTTAAACTTGGATCAATTGATAGTATCAAATACTAGGTAATTTGTTAAAAAAATAAATTAAAAAGAGATATCACAAGACTAAAACTAGGCAAGGTAGCTTACTAGCTAGAACCGAAGTGCAAAATTTGAATGTGTCTATATGGATCCGTTGATGGATACACCAGCACAGGTCAAAACAGAGTTTCAAAAGCAGCATCGAAAGGCAGTACCACGACGTCGTTTGAGGCGTTATTCCCAATTCTTTTCCTATCTCTTTCTCAACTAAAGCCTAAAAGGCATATTCTATTCACGCACGCGCACATGTATAAGCATTTGCTTTCTTAAAGCATGCTCTGAGAATTAAGCACATTCCTTTCTATTATATGCGCACAGCTTTTGTGCAGGTAATTAAATTTTTCATTTTTTCTTTTAAATTCTTCTTTCTAGTGATTTTGAGAACATTTAAACTCTCTCTCTCTCTCTACAGTATATATATGCATGTATGTATTCATGCATCATGCATGTACAGAGTCATGATTTATATTTATTTTTGAAGAAAAAAATCCCCATGCACTTAGGTGATGTGTTGATTTATAAACGAATAAGCTTAGCAATTTTACATTGTGAAGTGAGTTGTGGATTTGATTCTTCTGATTTCACACTCTTGACACTTTTCACACAAGAAATGAACGTGTTACTTTTGTTCGTAATAATATGATTTAATTTTCTTTTTAAGTTAGATTAAATAATAAATTAAGAAAAATGAACGTAAACTTTTGGATTTACTTGTGGATAAATACCTTTTTTTATTTTTTTTATTTTGGAGTTTGGCAAGCAGGAACCTAACCTGACAAAGATCGATTGTGAGAGAAAATATGTCTCAAACCATAAACTTATTCGACAAGAACCTTCTCTCAAGGCCTCACAGCAACATTGGATCAACAAACAACAATCATGAATCAAAATTTATCAATCCCACTTTGATTGATATGCCACCTTTGCCTGAGACCAAGCTTCTTCCTCAAATTAGGTGTGTGTCCACGCGCACGTGTCAATTAACTAACAATGAATTTAATTAGTTGATCGATAAATTGATATTGAAGAATTAATTGTAAAATTGTGTAGGAGTGAAGGAGAATTAATGTTATCATTGACAACAGAAGAAGTCAGACCATGCTTATCGGAGCAGCTTACAATATTTTACGATGGTGCTATTCGTGTCTATGATCATGTTCCTCTTGATAAGTTTTAATTCTTTCAGCCTTCAATTAGACAACATTCCTTAATTCATACTGCAATTTAGTACTTAATTGATTATTGGTATTAATAATTAATTACTTATTAATTGGTCAGTCTCAAGCTATTATGCTTCTGGCTGGCGAAAGCTTATCATCAAATGCTATAACTCCAAAAGCGTATACAATCACCAACCCTTCAATCCAGTTATGTAATTTAGAATTGTTAATACAGACATGAAAGTTTCTAATTAACGTATAGTGTTTACGAATTTACTCATTAATGTTGTTAATTGTGTGAGAAAGAAACAAATTAAATACTAATAATTGTGATAAGGAAATTAATAATAGGAAGTTTAATTAATTATTTTTTATTTCAAGAAGGCATTCCCTCCAATCTTTCCTTGAAAAGCGACGTCGTAATAGGTATCTTAATTTATTTCTCTATTCTATTATGAATTGCTATAGCTAGACTGAACAATCATAACATTGTGATATATTGCAGAAATATAGTGGGGAAGAAATCATCACCCTATGCTTGTGGTATGGTTCATAGTTCAAGCAACAATGGGAATATTGGGGAAGAAGAAGAAGAAGAAGATCAAGAAGGTGCATGCAAGAATGAAGAAGTTTCTCTTAAAGAGTGTGCTTGTAGATCTCCTTCAAATTGGAGTGTGCTTGTGGAAGTGCAAGGACGGATCTATGACCTAGAGGGGCTAAATTAAAAATAAAACATGAAGGGGTGGGGGAGGGGGAATCTATTTTAAAATTGTTTATAAGTAAAAATTTCAAAGAGCACATTTTTTCGTTGACCCCTTCAAATTACGTATTTACCATCCCGCCACATTTTTACATGTACTTAGAGAGCACGAGAGAAATATAAGGAGGAGAGAATCTTCTTGTATTTTGTGTGCCATGGAGTATATGGGAAAAAGGAGCTATTTTCCATGTTTTTAAGTGTCTTTGAAGGAGTTTAATTACAATGATTTTTTTATATCAGAAATTTAATTACAATGATTGGTTTGCATGGCATAGGGCCATGTAATGTTTTGTTTGTTTTCCCCCCTTTTTTTTTGGAATTTGTCAAAGTCGTGTTATCAATACTTTCAATGCATGTAGAAGATTAATGTTTTGCTAACTTTTAAATGTATAGGGATTTAACTAAATGGTATAAACTATTGGGGCAGGTTGAAAATTTTTAAACTACAAGAGGATCAATATAAAATTTATAGATTTCCCACTTTCAATAATTATATAATATACATTATTTACTTCGAATTGAGGAAAATTCATGCGAAAGTGATGTCAGTGAAATAGAAAATAGGGACTATATGTGTGAGATTCTTAAAGAGAAATAAATAACATTCAATGTGTGAAAACAAGGCGTCAAAAAAAGAATAATGTGATAAAGATACAGAAATATAAGTGGTATGATGACATGAATAAAATCATCAACGAGATAATTATGTGAGACAGACGGAAAAAACGTAAGAAATTGAGTTTGAACTTTTAATATATATGCTTTTCTCAGCAAAATAAATAAAAACTCAGTTTCCACATGAAACTAAAAATAACATAACTAAGCAACCATGATGATTAAGGAAGCCACTAAATATTCTCCAAAATTCGAAGTATGTACAAAATAAGAAATTCCAACATATACACGCATTGAAACTTTAATTAATAATACTCAAAAGGCAATACTTTCTCTAAACTCTTTAACCTTAAGCTTCCCCATAAGGGCAGAACATAGATCGAAAAATACTAATTCAGGACCCTCCAGTTTCTGCAGATCTAGCAAGTATTTCTCCTCATACACCCACAGACACATGTTAATTCAAATATTAGTTTAGTAATATGCTGAAAAATAACATATAATACGCATATATTTATATATAAAGATGGAATTTCAAAGTACATGCATTACCTGAATCTCAAACTTTGATTGAGAAACAGCAAGATAAGGAGTCCACTGCTTGCACTTAAGGTTGTAGGGTGATCCAATGTTCTTCCACAACACATTTAATTGTTTCATGGCATTCATAATCTCAGTCATTATTTCACAAGGATCACCAATGCACTTTGATAAGTTTAAAAGATGCAGCAACAAAAATTAAAACAATGAATTCATCAAAATTTCAAATCTTTTATATATAGGTAGAAAAAACCATGCTGAAAAAGTTTCTTTTCTTCATGTACCTGATGAAGAGTGTTTGAATCCAGAATCCTAATTAAGCAGTGAAATATTCAAGTTTCAAAGCAAATGAGCTTTGGACATAAAAGAGATCATCAGCAAGGAATTTGAATCCCTCTATTGCTAACCTTTTATTTTCATCTCTCTTTACATATGGAGAGGAACTTTGCTTGAGATAGAAGTGGGATCCACTTCTTGGTAATGGGTCCTCAAATGGGTCCCATTATATATTTGTTTCTACCTGTCTTTCTCATCTATGAAATTGAAAGGATGCGGAAATCCATTAAATTGAACAAAATGGAAAATAATGAAGAAAGCGAAGCTCATTTTGTTCAAGGTTGTAGGGAGAATCAATTAGCTGATTCGTGTTAGCTAGCTGATTAAACGCGCTTTGGAAAAGTCAGGTTTTTAAACGTGCTTTTGAGGAGGCCATCCAAACATGTCCTCTATTTAACCAGTTTTTCTAATCTTAGTCCAGTGACATCAAAATCTCTCACTTCATAATTAATGAGTCAATAGTTTCAACATATTTAGTTTGTTTGGACAGATTCTTACTATTTTAGACTTACCTGAGCCCAGCTGGGATGGGAGGAAATGAATAAATAATCAAACTAATATATGGCTCCTTTTGATTAAACAAAGGAAATTAACATTTCACATTACAAATTGCATTGCAGAATGTATATGATGTTGCATTAAGAATTTCATTACACAGAACAAAACGCTACGAACTGATAAATCTTGATATTTTGTTGATGAATCTGCACGAAGTCTTAGCTTCAGATTTCGCATTACCATTCAATATTAATTGCTTTCTGGTGGCAACAAAGTCACTGCAAGCATCCAGTCATGCAGAAAGCTTAGGGAACTTGAACACAGATTAAGTCAACCTCATCTCTTTAAACTCAGACGTCAGATATGCCCACCGGATTCTT